TTTGTTTTATTTTACATTTTTGGACCATTTCCCAAATGTCTGGTTTTTCTCCTTTAGTTTCTCTGCTAATCTTTTCCTATCCAATTGATTTTTCTGCTAATTTGTCCCTATTTATCTACCTTGAACATCTCAAAATTTCTGATCTACCAATATCATCCTTATTTTCCAGTCCTGTTATGACTTCATTGTTTTGTAAAAATTTGTTTTCATCTCATTGGAATGTTGGGAAATAAAAGAGACAGGTAAGTGTGCTCACTTAACTGCCTTGAACTGTGCACTGTTTTCAGAGTTCCATTTTGGCTGCAGTATATGATCCAGATGTCTAGAAATTAGAAAGTTGATAAGAAGGCCATTTATGTATCATATGAGTTTGGAGAGAGTATGAATCACCTTTGCTTTGTCTTTTCATTTCTTTGATTTTGTGTGTGTGTGTGTTTTCTGTTAGTAACATGCTGGAAAGGTTGTCTATAGGAATTTAGTATAAGCTTAGGCTTGAATCCAGGCAGCCAGGCAGGCATTGACAAATTTTAGCATTATAATCCTGGGCAAATTATGTAAACCTTTTTGTACTCTGTTTTACTCGCCCGTAACATTGGCAGAAGCAGTGATTACCCTCCTCATAGAGGTATTTTGGGAGTCAAATTAGGCAAGTACTTAAGCCTGGCATATATCAAGAGAAAGCCTTTACAAAATATTTATTCTTGATATTATTAGATTGCTTCTGTTCAGGAAAAAGTTACACATTTTAGATAGCCCTTTCTACAAAGTTTGACTATGAAGTGGATTATTATAAAATAAATTTTCACAATGATTCTCTGTATAATACTGAAAATGCATTTGCAGAGAAAACTTCCTCTGATCCATGAGCTATTCCCTTTTAGTAAGCACCTACTGGAATAGTAATAGGATCTTTACATGATTAGGCACATAGGGAGCTAATAATTAAACATTCAACTAATTGTATCATTTTTCTCTGTGTATACTTCTCTAAAGCTCTAATAAAAATATGTATTTCTGGTCTTCTTGACTATGTTGATAATTCCACTTCCTTCCCCACTCCCAAACTCTTTAAGTTGTCCAAAGACCCAGCTTCTTATTGTGACTTACATGAATCCCCTTTATCATTGACTTGTCTGTTTTCTAAACTACAAACCTTGATATCATCCATAATTCCTCAAAACCTTATTACTTATACCTCTGCTCTTCTGACTTCTTAAATCTTAAGTTAGTTTTGCCTGTTTAAAGCTTAGAATGAATTTATACAGCATGTTTGACTTTTTTGGCTTAACTTTTAGGAGATTCATGAGATTGATTCAGGCTGCATGTTGTAATAGTTCATTCTCATTGCTGTGTAATATTTCACTATATGAATGTACCACAGTTTATCCATTCTATTACTTATGAACATTTGGGTAGTTTCAGCTTTTGGCAGTCACACGTGCTTTATTGCTTTGTCTATATTTATATCTAGGGCCAATCTATAATCTATAAACTGTCCTGTACATATATTTTGAAGAACATGTGAGTGTATGCTTTTGGCTGTGTACCTAGGAGTGGAATTGATGAGTTTCAAGGTATTTAGTTATTTAGCTTTTAATATTGCAGTTTTCCAAAGTAGCCACTAAGTAAAAACAGGACTATATATGGTTTTTTCTTTCACACTATATGTCAGTTTTAGGAAGTGATGTTCTTCAGGTGATTTTCTCATTTTATTTAAATTATCAACTAAGGTGGTAGTTAAGTTGGTGTAACATTTTCATGATATCTTCATTATCTTTTAGAGCATTATTTTTAGTGTTGTAAATTTGGTTCTGTCTCTCTTGTTGGTTAGTCTAACTAAAGCTGTCAGTGTTACTATTTTCTTCTAAGAGCCAGCTTTTGGCTTTGTATTTTTTTCTCTTGTACATTTTTTTCCAAGTCACTGGTTCCTGTTCATACCTCTGTTATTCCTTCTACATTCTTTGGGTTTTTACTTACTTTTTTGTAGCTTTTTTAGATAGAAGCTTAAGTCATTGATTTTCAGCCTGCCTTTTCTGATATGTGCACAAAAGTTATAAATTTCCTGAGTATTATAACTACATCTTTAAAAAGTTTGGACATTTCTTATTGTTAATATTCAGTTCAAAATATTTTCTAATTCTCATTGTGATTTCTTTCTTAACCCATAAATTTAGAAAAGTTTTTTAAATTTTTGGAGATGTAGGTATTTTCTAGTTATTTTTGCCTTACTGATTTTTAACTTAATCCCACTGCAATTAAGGTTTATACTCTGAATTATTTCAGTGACCAGTATTTGCAAGACTTTCTTTATCCTGCAGTAATATGGTCAGTTTTGGTAAATGTTTCCTATGCTATTGAAAGTAAATTTCATTCTTTTGCTGTTGAGTTTTATGTCTTGCTCCTTGCCTCTTGCATTTTTCCATCCCTTCCACCCTTTATATATACATACATATGTTTACATATGTATATATGTCATTAAGATTGTTCTTTCAGAAGTGAATTAAAGTCTCCCACTGTGATTATTTTTGAATCAATCATACTGCATACAGACAATTTAGAATTGTTTTCATGATTGATCTTTTTTCACATTTTATTTTCCTTTTTATGTCTCCTAATGCTTCTTGCTTTAAAATCTCTTTTATCTGATCTTAATATAGCTGTACCTGATGTAAGTTATATATTTTCTCATTCTTTTTAACCTAGATAATTTTCTGTGAAACACAATAAAGCAAAATGCAATAAAAGTTGTAACTTTTATTGCATTTTGCTTTATTGTGTTTCACAGATAATGTGGGGGTTTTTTTGGGGGGGGGTTGGTTCTGTTGTTTTTACAAATTGAAGGTTCATGGCAACCTGCTTTTGATAGATGATGATTAGCATTTTTAGCAAGAAAATGTTTTAATTAATGTGTGGACACTTTTTTTAAACCAAATACTACTGCACATTTAGTAAGCTACAATATAGTATAAGCATAACTTAGATGCACTGGGAAAGAAAAAAAGTTCCTGTCAGTCACTTGTGTTATTCACTTTATTGCAGTGGTCTAGAATCCTCAATATCTATGAGGGATGCCTATATTGAAGTCTTCTTCAAACAGCAGATACAGTTGACTCCTGAACAAAATGGAGATTAGGGGCACCAACCTCCTAAGCAATTGAAAATTCTCATGTAACTTGATAGTCAGCCCTCCATATGTCGTTCCTTCATATCTGTGGTTCTGAATCTGAGGCAAAGCCTGAATTCTTACTATACATTGTGGCTAGACTCAGTAAATATTCTTAGAAAAAAAGTATCTGTAGACTTGGCAGCTTGGGTTCAGATTATTCCCTCCTCTGGAATCTTGGGACCCTCTGTACTGATTGCTTGAGTAGCTCTTAAATCCCTCTAAATAGATAGTTACTTTATTTTTATCCAGGTTTTTCTGCTACACAGCGTAACTTAGTTCTCTTGCCAGCTATTTTGTCATACTCAGAGGTGAAAGACCCCATGATAGCCTCTAAATACTTTTTGTATACATTAATTATCTTGGTTATTACCAGTCTTAACCACCACTGCCTAAATTATCTTCAGCTTTCACCTGTGAAGTTCTTTTTGCTATGTGTCTGTTCTAGTAATCACATTATGCTGAGTGTGAGTACTTTATATATTTATATATGTATATATAAAATTTCATTTTATCCACTCACCAACCATTGGGAAATGAGGTACTATAATCTTTTAATAGGTAAAAGGAAGAACCAGTATCTGTAAGATTACAGAATTTATGACAAAGCAATGATTCACATTGTTCTTAGTGTAGAACTCCTGCTATTAAAATCTCTGCTATAGTTTGTGGTCTTCTATAATTTGTTTGCTTCCTTTAGAATGCAGCTCAGGGACCACATCCTTCTGTCGTGAAGGTGCTCAGTTATTACTCTGTACCTTCCTCTATCATATTACCATATTGAAAGTAATCGCACATGTACCTGTCTCTCCTACTGTGTTATAGTCTTCTCCAAAACAAGGACTACTTGTTATTCATCTTTGTAGTACTTCCAAGTTCTACAACTAATTCCATTAGTCTGGAAGCTTGGTAGCTAACACACTTAGGAATACTATACAGTTGTTGAAAATGACTCTTAGTTTTTAAAAATGATCTAAATAAAGTACTTTATTTTCTGATAGCGGCTAATTTAGTCTCCATAGTTATAGAAGAGACTAATGTCATGTGACTTGCCTTGTGATAAGTGCTTTATTGTGGTGGTATGGAACTGAATCCTTAATATCTTGAGCTATGCCTATATATGCTAGTTAAAGTGAGTTCCTTTAAGGCATACGCTTATCTTTTCCCTTGTCCCAAGATAAATTTCTAGGGTGAATCTGACCAAAAAAAGTTTCCCTTGATACTAGTTAGCTATAAAATTGTCCTAGAAAAGATTTGCCAGTAGCGTTTATATGCTTCCCTGTAGTTTTCCTGGCTGTATGAATTGATAGTTTAAAAGAATCTTGGACTATACTGTAGTGAAAAATGGTATAGGTTTTTTTTTAATATGTTACTGATTACAAAATGAATTACAAATTATAAATTCAACTCTTCCCCACCCCCCACTTTTAGCTATTCTCCTGCAAATTGCTTCTTCATCTTTTCCTGAATTTTTTGAAATAATTCTTAGTTGACAACCGTCTAATTGGCTCTCATGGACATCAAATAACACATAGGTGTTTTTATACTTTTAAAATTAGTAGCTTATTATTAGCATCATTTCCTTTCCTTTTTGTCAGAAATTTTACCATAAAAAATGAGAAGGGAGGTTATTAAAATGTTACATATATTCTCACAAGAAATGTATGAGAGTGCCAATCCTTAAACTCTTACCAATTTTTTTTTGGATTATTACAATAATGCTGGATTAAAACATGGATTCTTAATTTAGTTTTAATTTATACTACTATAATTATGAGTGAAGTTCTTTTTCTGTGAATTAATTTGTATTCTTTACTTTTTTCTTTCTAATTTTTAGGAAATCATTAAATATTAGGGAAATTACCCCCTTTGTGTGCTCTATGCATTGCAAATACTTTTGTTGGTTTGTTCATTTCAAGATTGGTCATGGTGGCTTATTAGCTTGCTTCAGAATCACTGGCAAAAATATTGACTAGGATCGGGCTCTTTTCACATGGGTAAGTCAATAATCACTGCCTTTTTGGTACATTTATTAACTGTGAGTTTTCTTAGAAATATCCAACTCATATTTCTCCTCCTGTTTCTACCTTCAGCCCAATAGACGACAGTGGTAGTTTTACTAGAATGGGGCTAGCCAGGAAAATCAGAGCTTTGCTGCCAGATGAGGTGGACTTGATCTGGGGCCAGGAGGGGGTGGGAAGACCGTGGCTTTGTCAACTAAAAGTAGCAAACTTGGTTTGAAAGAAAGGGGACAGCGCCTGCAGCTTTGCAAACCAGGCCAAAAAAAAAAAAAAAAAGAATGAAAAGCCAAACAGGTATCAGCAGCAGCTACACAATATGGTAGATATAGATACTGCAGTGAAATCCTAGCAAGTTACTAAGAAGGAAACAGCCATGCATAGAAAAATAAATCATAGTGCAGAGTTGCTGCAGTCCAGCTTTCAGCCAAGTATTATGAGATGTGCAGAGAAACAGGAAACCATGATACATATTCAGGGAAAAAGGCAGAAGCAAGACATAAAACTACATGTTGTACAATTCTATTTACATGGAATTTCTAGATAACATATAACTATGGGGAGCACATCAGTGGTTCCCTAAATTTGGGGGTGGGGAGGACTTTTGGGGATACTGGAAGTACTGGAAAACTGTATGAATGCATAGCTATATAACTAAACTCACTAAAAATCATTGATCTGTACATTTAAAATGAGTGAATTTTGTGATATGTAAATTATACCACAATAAAACTGTTTAAATGTGAAAGGGGAACCAAAGTCTTTAAAACAACAGTACTGTTATTAGTGATCTCAGCTCCCTGTTGTGACTGTCAGTCTGCTGTTCTGTTTTCAAATGTAAATAACCAATTGTAGTTTATAAAAGTAATTGAAGACAACAACTGGGGGTACTTCATTAAGAGAAGTACTTAATTTTTATGTAGAAGTGAATAATTGTTAAAGTGACAGCATACAATCCCCCTAAATTGTGTATTCACTTTTCTTTGAGGCACTCTCACTACCTCCAACCATTTATCTCCTCTCTTCTTGCTTCATGAAGGAGCGTCTTCTTCACCTTCACTCTTCACCCCTCCTTTAATGGTCCTTGTGACTTACAGGTGCTCCTCATAGAACATTCCCAGTGTTATCATCCTGACTTTCTTGTCTGGCTACTCTGCTGGCTCCCTAGTTTATTGCATTGTGCTGCAAGTGCGTGATCTGATAGGAACTCTTTCGTATGTGAGGAACTTACATAAATAACATTTGGGTCAATATATTAGTATAGATTCCATTATTGAAAGGGGAAATAATTTAATCATAAAGGAATAAAAACCTGACATAGTGTACAATCTTTCTGCTACAGCCCCTTTCTCCTTAGAACTCTGTAATAATTAATCCTGTTTTCCATATGTATTTAACAATGAGAAGAAGAATGGGGCCATCTTGATTCTTGTTCCTTTAATGGAACATGATACTTACTCAGAGAAAATACTTTCTTCTGTATTTTGAATGAAATCCTTCCCTTTTTCCCTTTAGTAGTTTCTTCTTATAGGACTCATATAGTTTTCTTTGCTCATTAATTATTCTTAAATGAAAAAGAGTTCTCCAGACTTCAGTCTTTGTACTAGAATGTAATCTTGAAACCATCCATACCCCTGAAAGTACAATAATTATGTATATCTTTTGGATTTTGCTTCTTTATTTTATAGACTTTTCCAAATTGGAAAGCATCATCTAGTTATTAATGTCCTGGCCAGGTTATGATGATTAATTGTGTGTCCAAATGGATAGTTCAAGAACAGCTAATTGGGAAGAAGTTTTATAATACAGTTGATATTATCTGGTAGGAAACACTGATATGGACAAAGTCTTATCACAGAACCTGTGTGTCTGAGATAGAGGTAGAGTTCTGTGAAATATAATTCTTCAGCATTGCCTGTTAGGTCTGATCTTTGTTTATAGTTGATCAAAGCTTTGGGCTCTGACAGATGAGTAAGTGATATTTGTAGTTTCCGGGGCTGTTCTAACTTTCTAACCCTTTTGATTTTCACATATATGTCAATAGAAAGGTGAAGGAAAGTGGATCAGATATTCATTGCTGTCAGTAAGTTTCCATGTTATTTTGTGATTTTTATGGTTATGATCTTGCTATTACAGTATTTTATTTTTGATTAGTGATCATTTAAGTATGCCTTTGTAAAATAGCTTCTGTAAGTATTAACTTCATTTAGATTCAAGTATTGCATGGTATAAAGGCTTATGATTTATTTCTTAAAAAATTATTTTTCATTAATTTAAATGGAATTGTCACATTTCCTCATAATGTAATGTGAGAAAGTAATTGTTTTATGACTGTTTAAATACTTCTTCCTTCTTGATTCAGTTAAACTTAGTGATTATTAAATGAAACTTCTTTTCTTTGTAGTCAAGTGCTCACCTGTTTGGGACATTGCGTCCATCTTAGAAGACTGCAGTAAAGTGGCAATGTCTCGGGAACCCACCCCACCTCTCTCTGGAGATATGTCTGTCGGCCCTATAGCAGAAAGCTGGTGTTATACACAGGTACATTCTATTAAAAAATGCTTCACTTTATGCTAGATATCATACGCTATTTTGAGAATATTATGAAGCACTTTAGCATTGTTATTAGAAGTGTTAGGAGATGAGTCATAGGATGTTCAACATGTGACAAGTCAAAAATATAAAAGTCATCATTGTAAAAGTCCTTTTCTGAATGTTCCAGGTTAAAGTAGTAAAATTTTCCTACATGTGGACCATTAATAACTTCAGTTTTTGTCGAGAAGAAATGGGTGAAGTGTTAAAAAGTTCAACATTCTCATCTAGCCCCAGTGACAAAATGAAATGGTAAGATTTTTGGTTTTTTCAGATATTTGTTTTTGGTGTAATCATTAGCACTTTATAGTTTCATTGTTACCATTTCTAAATGGATATTTGTCAGATTTTATATTTGATTTATAATAAGTTCCTAGTAGTATAGAGAATTGTAAAGAGCTGTGAGAATATTGACAGGAGATCTGTTGTATTATTTAGATTATTTAACAGATGATTTCAGTATTGCGTCTCTCTTGAATGTTTAAACTATTGAGCCTGTTGTTTTATTTTAGGTGCCTGAGAGTAAATCCAAAAGGATTAGATGATGAAAGTAAAGACTACTTGTCCTTATATTTGCTTTTAGTCAGCTGTCCAAAAAGTGAAGTTCGAGCAAAATTCAAATTTTCCCTTCTGAATGCTAAAAGGGAAGAAACAAAAGCAATGGGTAAGTGATTTCCAAACTGACTGGAAGACGTCTTTATGTAACTGTGTACATATACTGTGACTTTTGCACTTTTACCTAGAAAAACAGGATTTTTTTTCCCTAAAATTATTTTCTGCTTAACCAAAAACATTTCATTTTGGCTGGTAATCTTAAATGCCAGGGTAAAGTTACAGTTGTTTCACTAAGTCTTCATAAGACATGTAAAATTAGTTTTAAATCACATTAAAATTTAAACTTTTCATGTACTAAAATGACATTCATTTTTCATTTGTAATAATAGCTGCTATTAGGACAAGGTACCTGGTTCAGTGCCTGGCATATATAATAGGTGTTAAGAAAGCATTTCTTTTTCTTCCTTGCCATTTTTGCCAGATAATAAAATCTAAAGAACAATGTGAAAGATGTTTCAATGCCCTGATATTTTGTGACTGTAATTTTTTTGAGCAGTGGACTAAACAGTGACTGAAAGGAAATGGTTTTTCTTAGTCTTAGAACCTATTGAATTCAGTTCAAACCTCTGAATTATAGCCAGCTGAAAATGTAGCCTGGCACCTCATAGTAAAAGATCATTGTAGAAAACATACAATGTGTATAGCAGGAAAATATATTATACATTAAATTTTAAGTGATTTCCAGAAGTGATTAACAAAATCAAGTAACATCATTACAAAAAAACTCTCCAGAGCACATTTTAAATAATATATCTCCTTGCTGAAGTAATACATAGTTTCACATGTATTTTCATAATTCTGACATGTAAGATAAAATAATGTCTTAGTTCAGGCTGCTGTAACAAAGTAGCATAGACTGGGTGGCCTATAAGCAGCAGACATTTATTTCTTACAAATTTAGAGACCAAGAATCTAAGATCAGAGTTCTAGCATGGTCAGATTCTAATGAAGACTCTACTTACAGACCTGACAACTTTGCATTGTGTCTTCACATGGTGGAAAGGACTAGGGAGCTTGTGGAGTCTCTTATAAGAGCACTAGTCCCATTCATGAGGATCTCTACCCTCACAGTCTCATCTAATCCCAGTCATTGGCCTCTTAATACCATCACACTGTGGGTAGGGTTTCAGCATAAAGCTTTCAATGGTATACACTTAGTCCATAAAATAGAGTATCTCAATTAGATATATTACTGGTTTTCTACCTTCAACGTGTATAGCAATAGTGAATGCTTTCTATAAAGGACCTTGTTTATTTCATAGTATATAGTTATTAACCAGTATATATAAGGCATAAGAAACATTTACTTTAGACATTTATTAAATATTTTACTGATCACACTAAAACCATCTTGTGGACCTTGATGAAAATTGTTTTTAGGGGTAATGGGATTATGTTTAAAGACCTAAGAAATGATAGGGGACCTTTTTTTAGCTTTTTTCTCCAGTTAATGGATTTTTCTCTAGTTCCATAAAACTTAGATCAGTGGGATGGTTATCCCAGGAAAGCTTATAGAAGGCCCTGGTGATTTAGAGCATCCTTTTTTTTAAAGAAAGAAGCAAGAAATTAATATTTCTAATCTGGTTCTGATAGTAGATAGTGAATACTATGCCTTTGCCAATGTGTTTTGATCCTACTTTCTTATTAAAGGACTTAGATTGTTTGAGAGATCTCTTACTTCTCCTTGAGATTTGATCTGGCTTTTCTTCTACTTAGATATCTAGGAATCTGAAAGTGAGCTCATTGATAAT